GAGTAGACGTATATATATATATATATATATATATATATATATTTGGTAGTTACATGAGTTTGGTTTGCTTAATGAAGCTTGGCTTGAGCATCCTTTGTCCTTCCATGGAATCGCGTCAAGCCCGGGCTGTTTCGCGCGAGAAGGGAAAACAACAGAATAATGATACGCCCAAGCACATAGTTATGCTGAGGGCTGAGAAATTGAGCAGAGAGGACTCTGGAGCAATGACCCGTGCGCGGGCGCGGGCGAAGCTACTCAATTTATTTTGGCCAGCTCCTGCGTTTTTGCAAGGAGTGTTTATCATTTCCACGGTAATGTTCCTGTTTGGGACTAGCTCCAGGTGGCCGAGGTGGCTACCTTTTTTTTGGCCGCGGGTGATCCCAGATCACGTAGCCAACGCGCCAAAAAGTACTTAACCTCCGCGCCCCCCGCCAACGTGCCGCCTATTGCCATTTATCATCTTTGCAACTCATTCAACAGCACCCTGCTTACGTCGCCCTGCCCGACCAACTTACTCTCATCTCTCTCACTTGAAAACCCTTTCATCCAAACCAAACAAAATGACCGGTGGTGGCAAGTCTGGTGGCAAGGCCTCTGGCTCCAAGAACGCCCAGTCGTACGTTTTTGCCCATTGTGAAGCGCAGCCATCTAGCACCACTAACTCGCTTATATTAGTCGTTCTTCCAAGGCTGGTCTGGCATTCCCCGTCGGCCGTGTTCACCGTCTTCTTCGCAAGGGCAACTATGCCCAGCGTGTCGGTGCCGGCGCCCCCGTCTACCTTGCCGCCGTTCTCGAGTACCTCGCTGCTGAAATTCTCGAACTTGCCGGTAACGCTGCCCGCGATAACAAGAAGACCCGTATCATTCCCCGTCATCTCCAGCTCGCCATCCGCAACGATGAGGAGTTGAACAAGCTGCTGGGACACGTCACCATTGCCCAGGGCGGTGTTCTGCCCAACATTCACCAAAGTAAGCCGTCCACTCAGTGCCCACTTCAAGCGCAACGGATGCTAACGCATTCCAGACCTTCTGCCTCAGAAGACTGGCAAGGGCAAGAGCGGCAAGAATGCCAGCCAGGAACTGTAAATGTGTCGATTTCTTTTGCTTTCTTGCGATGGTTCGTTTGGGTTGCAATGACATGGGGTCACGGTCTCGGTTCTCGGTTTTTTTATGCGTTCAGGGTTGTACAATAGCCCCCTAAGACTATGGTCATGAATGAGATTACACATCTAACAAAAGATTTTAATGATTTCATTATCTGGTCGGCTCGTGACGATGTGCACACAAATTATTCAGCATTTGTAAGCATCAAAGCTCCGAGGTGACCCCGTGTCAGTATTCTGCTCTTCGACTACGCAGCTTTATACACATGTCTAACAGTATTCTACCTGGAAGTTTGAGCATTCGCAGGCCAAAATGTTCAGGCCCTTATTTTCTTCGACCAAGTTTCCATGGCCCCGAATCAGAAGGGCATCGACATCAATGTCCATTTGCAGGGTGTGGCGGCGCTAGAGTGAGCTCGTTAGTGAACTGTAGAGCCACGTCGTCTCCATGAATGTAGACTTACGATCCAAGACCGGGGACGGCATATTTCTTTCGTATTTTGATCCTGCAGAACCGTTAGCCTTTGGTCCTGAGTCGTCCCTGGGAGCCAGCTGCGGAGTGTGCATACCTCCGGGGGCGGTCGGCGGGACATATGGGTCGGGATGTTTCCATCCGTTTAGTAGTTTTTCGGTTTCAGAGAGTAGGGCCTATAAGCTATCAGTCTATAGCTACAGGTTCCATTGATGAACGTGGCGGACTCTTTGTTGTCTAGGGTCGGTGACATGGCGATTCGCTTCAAATAACGATCGGATGTACAGGGCTTGACCTCGCCAGAGTTGGCGCTGGACAGCCCAGTCTAGGGCAAGTCGCAACGATCTGCGGTACAAAGACCTGTTAAAGAGAAGCGCATTTGTCAGAATTAGATACATTTCGCCGTGGATGCTTTGAGTCGAGTACGAACAGTGCGGCCTGTCGTGTAGACATTATCCTTTGCTTTTGAGACTGCACCTTGAGAGACTGCTTGAAGGCGGTCGCGCGTCTTGTCGAAAAGGTACAATTGGGCCGATTTGGCACCGATTGACTGCTCCTGATATGCTTTGTCGTGGATTGAAGCTGTCGGGCTGCAAGCTGTTGATGATTATGAGGGTGGAGGATTAAATGGTAGCACAAGGCTACAGAGCTTGTAGGTGGCCGCCTTATGGCCTGGCGTCTTTTCTGTCAGCTCCTGCGCCACGTGCGCGCACCTGCATTACAGTCACATAAGTACCGTGGCGTGGCCGAGAGAGATAAGAGCTGATAAGGCGACTACTGTACGGAAGCCCAGGTTGAATGCGCAAAGGTGCATAAGACTATGCAAATGTATATAATGTTAATGCTTGTAGAAGAGCCCTAGGCAGAAATCTAGAGTTGAGTTTTATACGCTGGCAGTGCTGTTTCTCAGGGCGCACGTATGAGGTTCCAGACTGGCCAGTTGGATGGGACATCACGTGACAACATTTTCCTCTCAAGAGCTAGGAGGCCCATACCTCCTTTGCGTCACACCAAAGCTAAGGCACATAGCTATTTATCCCACTCACCAGCTCTGTCAGAAACGGGCTTCATCTTGCAACCATGCTGTCGCGTCGATTGACAACCCTGGTGCGAATGGCACCTATGTGCCAGGTCCGCCAGCGTCGCAACATGAAGCCAATTGCTGTGATGCTTCCAAGCATCATGCAGACTGTTCGTTCCTATGCTGACAAAATTGTTCAAGTGCCGCAGATGGCAGAGTCCATTTCCGAGGGAACTCTGAAACAGTTTACCAAGAGTATTGGTGACTATGTCGAGCTGGACGAAGAACTCGCGACCATCGAGACTGACAAGGTAACGCGGGTTCCTCCGAATAGGCCGCACTCCTGGCTAACGGACCACCCATAGATCGATGTCGCTGTCAACGCTACGGAGGCCGGTACTATTAAAGAATTCTTTGTGAATGAGGAGGACACTGTCACCGTCGGACAAGACCTTGTCCGCATCGAGTCGGGCGGCTCGCCCGCCCCTCAAAATGAACCTGCGCCCAAAGATGACGACCAGGCGAAGTTGGCAGCTGAATCGAAATCATCACAGCACCAAACACAAACTGAATCGAACCAAGAGACCAAGAAAGGGACAAAATTCCAAGCGGAGAAAACCCCCGCAGCTTCTCCTCAGCGACCTGCGACAGAGAAGGACGCCGCGCCCTCTGCTTCACAGGCTTCGAGTTCTGGGCCTAGCCTTGGTAGCCGGGAGGAACGACGTGTATGTTGCGAGTCTATGCTGGTGGGGGCGTTTATTGACGTACTAATTGTTTCTTAAGGTGAAAATGAACCGCATGCGCTTGCGCATTGCAGAACGCCTCAAGCAATCACAGAACACTGCCGCTTCACTCACGACTTTCAATGAGGTTGACATGTCCAATATCATGGATTTTCGCAAACTATACAAGGATGATGTACTGAAGAAGACCGGCGTGAAGCTCGGCTTCATGAGCGCCTTTGCTCGTGCATCCGTTCTTGCTATGCGCGAACTGCCTGCTGTCAATGCTTCAATTGAGGGCTCGAACGGCGGCGACACGATCGTATATCGTGACTATGTTGACATTAGCGTCGCAGTTGCCACCGAAAAAGGCCTCGTTACACCCGTTGTCCGCAATGTTGAATCCATGGACATGGTCGGTGTGGAGAGCTCTATTGCTGATATGGGTAAAAAGGTTAGTCACTAGCTTGCTATGCCTATGCATTGTGTACAGAAAAACTACTAACCATTGAAAAAAAGGCTCGTGATGGCAAGCTTACGATCGAGGATATGGCCGGCGGAACGTTCACAATCAGCAACGGCGGTGTCTTTGGTTCTCTTATGGGAACCCCCATCATCAATTTGCCCCAGACTGCTGTACTAGGTCTGCACGCCATCAAGGAACGCCCTGTGGCAATCAATGGCAAGATCGAGATTCGACCAATGATGTATCTTGCACTGACGTACGACCATCGCCTTCTTGATGGTCGCGAAGCCGTGCAATTCCTTGTGAAGATCAAGGAGTTCATCGAAGACCCTCGCCGCATGCTCCTGTAAAATCCGCTACTAGGCCACGCTCTCTAGAAGCAATCCGTTATAGATTCCTAGTTACTTGTATAATCATAGTACAAAGCCAGTAACCCTTCGTTTGGCTTGCCGAACTGTTGTTGGATCCTATAACAGCGCCTGTCCTAGCCATTCTTCCGCTGAACAGTGATGCCTACGATCTGAGAGCAATACCGTACACCTCTCCTAGTTAGATGCATGCACACACATGCCAATTTGTAGAGACCCAGGTACAGGCAGGTACAGTACCTACGCGGGAGAGGGGGTTTTCTAACATACCCTCTAACAGATGTTTATAGAGAAAATATTTTTAAGGTATATTACTATAGATTTAGGCTTTTTAGATAAGATATTAGAAATTTTTTTAATATACTAAAAAATATAATTTCCTTATAATATATCTAAAAAAAATATACTAAATAGGAAAATATATTAGAGGCTATATTAGAAAATACCCCTCTTCTATATAGATCTTTCTAAAAGTCTATTACTACTAAAGATATCTCTAATACTCCTTTATATAGTAGATCTAATTAGTTCTACTCCTAAAATAATAGAATTATATTCTAGTATTAAGTTATATTATATAAAAAAAATAATACTTAAACTTTTAACTAATATAGTTAATAAGTAAGTAAACTAGATAAATAAGTAAGCTATTTTACTAAGTTTTATTATCTTTTATCTTAGTATATATATTATTTAATAATTACTTAATATAATTAATAAGTAAGTAAGCTAAATAAGTAAATAAGTTACTTTACCTAATCTTTTATTCTTTAACTATTAATAATCTAATTATAATAT